GACATGGGCCCAGAAGCAAAAAGCACAATATTGGATGTATTTTAACAGCTTCATAACAAATATAAGGGAGGTTTAGGACTCACTGGGAAGCTTTGATACCTAGGAAACAGAACTTGTCTCCTGCAGTCAGTGCAGAGGGTTTTTTTCTGCTGATGAAACAAGAAAACCGACAGAGAGAAATGGGTCATCAATCAATGCTTTGCAAACAGCAGGTGGAAGCTGGTGGGGAGTTAGTTTGTCTCCGACGACTGAGACAGGGAGTGTCAGAGACATAATTCAATGAAACACCAGTGATGGGAGACACCCACTCTATAAACCACTGACACACATGAATTCGCCCAACTTTAATTACACTGATTAGCCAACATGTGAGCCAGAGTGCTGCTAAAAAGCAGTGGCGTACACAGCGTTGGTGTCACAGCGCCAAAGAAGGTGACTTGTTAAACTGTGAAATAAACACAAATGTCTTTACCCATCTTATTTTTTCACCCACTGCTCAAATGTAGTAAACAGCAATTCTGATTCCATTTCACTGTTGACCTGATGTTTCCACTGCATTTAGTAGAGAAACACTGTAAAAAGTCCTGTGATGGACTGTCCACGATGCACCTGGTCCTTCAGTACAGAGATATTAAACAAGAGGATTTTCAGGATTATTATTTAAAGTCGTGGTGGCAACTGGAAGCCAATAACCAGTGAGGTGGGGAAATAAATATAAGATTAACACAGGCTGCAGGCTAACACATGCAGCTCGATGTCCTAATATAACTCTAAATATAGACTTATACTCATATAAACTCCAAATCTTTGTCAGTTAAATTATCTTATTAGCTTTGTGGCTTGCTGGCTCGTCCATTTTTCTACTTACCTGTGTTTAAGATGAGCCTCAGCTTTTTTGCTATGACTTTGCAGGTTATAAAAAAGTCACCATTTATATTACTTGGAAGTTAATATTAACCTACCTTTCCATGTTAGAAACATGCTAATCTAAAGGACTAACTCTAGTTACTATGATGTCGCCCTTTTGTTTCTAAACTCTATTCTAAAGCCTCACTATTAGCATTTTGGCTGAAGTGGAAGTGGCTGTATTTAAACAATAGGCTGGAATGTAAAAATCATCAGCTAACAGTAATAAGCTTTGTTAGGAAGCTGCATATATAACGTTTACAAGTGCATCACAATGGCACAAACAGATGCTAATCAGTGCTAAGTGCTAACAGGCTAATAAATACTAGAAATCAGCCACCAAAAACTGAAGCATGAAGTTCTTGGATGCACTTTTAATAATAATAATAATAATGGATTGCATTTATATAGCGCTTTTCGGGACCCCTCAAAGCGCTTTACAATTCCACTATTCATTCACTCACACATTCACACACTGGTGGAGGCAGCTACAGTTGTAGCCACAGCTGCCCTGGGGCAGACTGACAGAAGCGAGGCTGCCATATCGCACCATCGGCCCCTCTGGCCAACACCAGTAGGCGGCAGGTGAAGTGCCTTGCCCAAGGAAAACAACCGGGGCTCGAACCGGCAACCTTCCGATTACAAGACGAACACCCAACTCTTTTACCGCACAGCAAGTCATATTATTTGTTGGATATTTCCATTAAAAGTCTGACAGACAGGTCCAGTTCAGTGACTCCAGTTAGTGGAGGTAAAGGTAGTGCTCTGTGATACTTCAAATATTTGTCTGATACAATCTGGTTGGGATTCAGCCTCAAGTGCTCATTAGCGAAAACCTAAATTTTTAGTCTTAATTCATTTCGGTCTCATAGGTTGGGGTTACAAACTGTATATAAAAGATGGTGTTCTAAGAAACCGTCCTACTTTGGCAAATCGTCCTACCCGTATTATAATTTGACCGTGACTTCTGACTAATCCAAACCATAACCATAAGAAATATTCACAATGGGTTAAAAAATGAAGTTAATTTGGGTTTTGTGTTGTGCATATGCGCAGCGTATATGCAGAAACAACAGGTAGGATGATTTGTGAGGTAGGATGGATTCCCAGAACAGATGGACGTAACGTAACATCACCCGTTGATTAGCCGAATGTTTTCAGCCATCACCATCTTGGAGTTTTGAAAAGCAAGGGGTGAGTTTGACTGGGAAAACAAAGTCGCCACACTGATTGGCTGACAACCTGTGACCAACAAATCCATGGTTTATAAAGTATCCATCACTGAGACTTTAAAACTAGAAACTGAGATCTCACTGAGGTCACACAGAGAGGAGGCTGGGGGCTGTTTTCCCCATTTATTAACCAGAAGTTGTTTTGCAACCAGAGCAGTCGCCCCCTGCTGGTCAGTCTGTAATTACCACTTTTATGTAGTCTGTAGTTAGCACTTGATGTGTGCTTGGATATACTGTATATATGACATATTTCGTAAAACAGCCCTCAAAATCAAAACACCACAGGCTGCGATATCCTGGGTTTAAAACAGCAGATCCTACATTTCCCACAGTGCCACTGATGTCATCGTAGGGCTTATATGTTTTTGTTTGTTTGTTTTGTTTTTTTCAGGCTTGTGAAAGTTTCGTGTAAAGCAAACAGTTTTCACTGACCTGTGATTCTTATGAAAACGTTAACTTGTTTACTTTAGTGAGTGCAAGCTAAGAGGTTTGTCCGGCTCATCCTTTAAGTCACACAGACATGAGGTCATAAGTGTAGCTCAGAAGCATTTTGCATTTAATTATACTTGTTTACAGTCTTTGTTTGTATCTGAGCGAATAAATAAAAAAAACAAACAAACAGACTTGATTTGTTGCTTCCACGGTGGAAACAGCGGATTGTAAAAACTTGCAGTGTTTGCAGGGATTTCCTCGAAGGTGGATGTAATTATGATCGTGTTGACTGCGGGTTTGCAGATAAACAGGCGAAGGGGAGGCAGACTCATGATGAAGAGCTACCTCATCGCTCAGGCCTGCTGTGCAGCTTTGCACAGGTGTGGACTGGACTCTGTGAGACGGTGAGCTGTGCTTGTGGCCAGACGAGACGAGACCTTTAAGTACAGACCTTTGGATTTCTTCGTCACGTGACTGCTCTGTATCTACAACCTGCCTTCTCCCAGCCGGCCGTGCGCGCTCACCATTGAAAAACAAAGGTAAACATTTTCTCCAGCACCACCCGCCGCTGCCTAGCTCTACTTTACGCACTATTATCCCCGAAATCGAGCCCCGTTCTCACCCCCCGATTAAAGGCGAAAGGACACGAAGCGACAGGCGCGTCGCTACTCCGGAGAGAGGGACGGGGAGTTGATAGTGTGGGCCTTATCTCTGAAATAAACACTGATCGCAAAGCGAGCTCCGTCACAGGCTACAGCTGCGATTAGCCGGGGCACTTTGGGCGACATCGTTTCCGGAATGTGAGCGATTCGTGGTCGCAAACGAGAGAAAAGGAGCGACAATAGAGCAACGTGGCGGCCGGATTTGTGAAGATTACAGTCAATAAAGTGCTCTGCACAAGACTGCCTCCTAATCCCTGTGTGAAAGGGATGGGCAGTGCACCGGCTGGATCTGACTTTCTGCAGAAAGCTGGGTGGGGAATGGAGAGAGCTGTTCCTCTCTGATCCACACATGCACATTATGGTTAGAGCAGGGTGTAGTGCTGCAGGTCCAACACACCGTCAGACTCTTATGATTAGTTTCAAATCAGCTTGTTTACACGAGGCCGTGAAATCAGTGGTGCATCTTTATTTAACTCCCCACCAGGGGCGTTTACGGGTTTTTATGGGTGTCACGAAGGAACGACAGGAAATCACAATACTTGGATCAGATAAAAGTAGAGCGTATTGAAAATATGGTGGATCCTCGTGCTCTTAATCAGATGGTATTTGGTGAAAAGTGGCTGCACGAGACTTTATACACGATTTTGTGTTCAATAACTGTTCAGAAAAGTGGTGAAACGAGTGTTTAACAGTACAAAATATGCTTAAAATACCAAATAGGTTAATGACTGGGTTATAATGAATGATTCATTAATGTGTGAATCACTTT